GAAAGGGAAAAACTTTGGTATAAAAACCGCAATTTGGTTTGTTAGTTTTTTCTAAACCAGCTGTAATATACCAACACCTACCGCAGAAATGTTCACAATACCCCGGAGGGGGAAGAAAGAATAAGAGAGAGAAAAATCCTCAGCTGGCCCTGTTATGGGGATAAAAATTTGACAGGAAAAATGAATTTCGCAGAGGGGCTCCCAGATAGAAAAGAAATGGGGAAATTAAAAGTTTCCCAGTTACAGAGAGATTAAAACCTGTTAAAAAGTGGGATGGGATTTTATGAAAAGGGATTTGGAAAATTTTAAGGGAGACAACGCGTGTCTCCTCAAAACAACAAAAAAAAATGTCTGTTTTTTCGGAGAGCAGTTGCTTTACTTTACAAGTAAGTTGACACTTTCCTAAGTTGTAGATTAAAAGTTACAACCACTGTCTCACCATTTTTAGTTAATTTGGAGCTAAAGCCCCAGACCCACGGGTTTTGATTTCGGAAAAAGCGCACTTGCAGGTTTAACTTGTTAGGCATCTCTGTGTCTCGTCTTAGGTAAAAGTGGTGACTGAGCTCAACCGCCGTTTTGGGTGGCAGTTCATACACCTAAGGTAAGTGTCAGCAATACTGTTTTTCAGTCCCCGTACTGAAGGATAATCTTGTACTGACTTGATAAACAATGTAAGATGATTTTTTGGACCTTTGGAGAGCGGTCACGGGGGAAGCAAGGTAGGTCACCAGGTTTCCTTTAAAGCCCGCGACGTGTTGATCAAAGAAAATCCCGGGATTCATTTAAATTCGAAGTTATTTTGAATTTTTAATTGAAGCAACAGGCAAAACAATTAAATTTTGAAAATTGGAACAGCTAATGCTTGAGCCCCGAGGATGATACATCTTAAGGAAGCTCGGGTAATTTTGGGGAAAAAGAAGCATGTATCAGAGCTTGTTGCCCAAAACGAAGTGCGGCTGTGGGTTTACACCTGGGGAGGCAAGCACGGTAACAGCCTCGCTGGAAAATAGGCCAAAAAATGCAAAGCCTCCTTGTTGCTGACGTGTCTCAGTTTTACCCCTGCCCTTGCGTGCTGCCCCCGTGGGTTTCCCCCCCTGAGGCCCAGTTGACGTTGTCCCTGTGATGTCCTCATTGCGCTGCCCTTGTGTGCTGCCGACTGCAATAAAAGGATTTTTTTAAGAGTTTCACAGGTTTTTTGTTACATTTAAGTCGGCGGATATGAGACATTAAGTTGAATTATTTGAAGACCCAATCAAAGGGAAACCTTATGGCTTATCAAGTGAGCCGAATAACAAAGTAATTACAAGCACGGTGTAGCGCCCTGCAGAAAATTTAGTGGATAAAGCTCAAACTGCAGTCAAAATCCTTGCAGGTTACTGTTTCGCCCTACCTTCGTCATTGCTAAAAAGGTTTCCCAACTTTTCGAATGCTTTGGAAGCGCCTTCGTCAATTCCTCTTATTAGGATTTTTTCAAGCAGTGAGGGATGTGGTACTTTCCAGGGGGAAATTTTCCCAGCTAAGAAAAACTGAATTCCCAAAAATTTTGAGGTTTGAAAAGGTTTTTCTTCGGTGAAGAAAAAA